TTGGATTTGTCATGCCCAAGAAACCAAAATTTTAGACAGGTAAAAACAAGGGACTTGTTGATTTTTTTTTTTTTTTAAACATATATTTCTTTTAAAGTCCAGAAAATTCTTTCAATTTAAAATTACATTTTAGAGGATTAAAAATAAGAGTATTTTCACTCTGGAAGACATCTGCCCTTCTGTCTGCCCCATGAAAGGTCTCCTTGGAAGTACTAACCACACACTGCATGCAACGCCTGCCAGTGGGGCTGATGAACTGAACTTGTGAGGAGCGGGGGCCTTTCTGGAAGCAGTCCTTAGCCCTGGGGGTCCGGGCAGGGAGACGGGGCAGCCCCGCCACGCATCACAGGGGTCAGTGAGGCACCCAGGGGGGCGCAAGTTTTGCAATACACAACATGGTATCAGCAAAAAGAATACCAGCAGGTAAGAAGTGAAAAAAAAAATTTAAGTACTTCAGGTGCTCTCCAAAGTAAAAGAGAATTTTAAAAGTAAGAAATAATTATTTTGCAGCTGTATGTACCAAATGCTATGTCTATTTTATGGAATTTGTTTTACATAGGGGAGGTCTCAACCAAAGAGGTTCAAGATATGTGATTCAAACTACTTCCAAGAAATATCACTTATTTCCCAAGAACCTAGAAATTATGTTCTTCTACTATCTTGTATTGTTAATTTGGCTAATAGTAATGAAACTCACACATTTGAGGGTTTTGGACTAGCTGTGGAAGAGTTGCACTAATCTAATATCTGTTATTATTATCTTTACAGAAGATTTAAAATTTAAAGTTAAAATTTAAAATTTTAACTTTATGTGCCTGAATTTCCACATACTTACAAAAGTCAACTTGGATTTGAAAACTTTTGTATCAGAACACACTAATTTTGTGTGTATAATATATAAATATGACCTTTATAATTCATACTATCTCACAGGCACACTGCTGTTGTTCCTGATGTGGCAGTGGAACCTTAAAATACTTATTTTAATGACTAACCTGCTAAATGCTAAACAGTGACCCCAATCCAGCAAATAATTTATAGATTTAGTTAAACACTGCAGTTTGGGTGATTTAGAGCTGTTGATTATACTCAGACTTGTACAAGTAATGAAGTTACTTCTTAGCATTGTTCCCAGGGAAAATAGTGGGAAAAGATAAGAAAACTTCTAACAATTACGATTTAAATCATGTATCGATGGAATATAGCTGTATTCAACATATATTGATAGCAAGAATTAAAAGCTTAATTTTTTCTTATGCATGAAGCCTCAAGTCATTTCACAAATTGAATTAGCATTAAGGAATTTCTGCATTTATCACAGAAAATCCATGTGTCTATTCCTTCTAGGAAAGCAACTGAAAAGTTCCAGTGCAGTAGGGAAAACAGGAGAAAATGTATTTAAAACAAACACCTTTATAAAACAATTCATTAGGGTATTTTTCCCACAGTAATAAAGAGCAAAACCCCAAGGCAAATTCATGCAGAAATGCCTTTTGCAGTTGGACAACTTTTTTTTTCCACAGTTTCTGTTACACTTGGATTGGTTTGCCTTACATGGATAATTTGCAAAGAAAAATATACCTTTTTATATGCACATATAAGGCACGATGAGTGAATGCAAAGATTCACATAAAAAAACAATAAGCATGAGTCCTGTTAGATCCAGGTGGTAAAAGAAGCAACTCAGAGGGAAGGGAAAGGCTGCTCAATGTGAATTGCCCAGTGCACGTGCCCTCTTTCTTTCTGTTAGTCACTGTAACTTTAGTAATTTGCCCTGATACCTTACTTTTCCATTTCTGTCAGAATTCCATCCCACCTAGTTTTTTCCTAGTATCACTTCAGTGTTTTCTTAAAGCTTGCTAGCCAAATATTTATAAAACTCATTTACAGAAACATTAAAGTAAAATAGGACTCGGAGTTCACCATACTGCAAAAATCTCAAGAAAAAGCTTTGCATTTTGCCTAGCACTTTTTGTTACATTAAATATTTGTCAGAAAATGAGCCCCGCAGTAAACTAGGATCTCTAAGGACATTTTGAATGCTTGCTTCCACTTTGAATCCTTGCAAAACACTTGGGAAGAGTGCTGATTCCTGTAAATACTTCAAACTGCTTTTTGCTAGCTTTACTTGTTTATTCATTCAGTACGCCTTGTTTGGGATTGTGCAGCACTGAAAATACAAATTCTTGATTTTTCAAATATCAACTCTCTTTGAGAAAAATAAAGCGTAGCAAAAGATTCTATTAAAAAAAGGTTTAAAGTAAAAAAGTCTAATTACAAAACCTTCCAGATTCTTCAGAAATGGAACAGTAAACATATACAATGTTACAAGAAAATCATAATGTAGCCATATTATAAATTATGGTCTAGACATAGATGTTGCCTGTCTCTTCTAAGAACGGGTATCCAGATTGCTTTAGTCTCCACATCAAAGATCTTACATGTAGACTCATACACGGGACATGAAAAAAGAACCCACACAGCTCTTTTCTAAAGATCCTTATGCATAATTCTTGCTGCTTTATCCCACAATTTTTCTCAAAACACTTGTCCTCTGAAGGCCAAGGCACTTTTAAAGAAAATTTGTCAAATATACGCGAGTAGAGAGAAATTTATGATAATGATCCATTTAACTAGCAACAGACTCAAATTACCCTATTGGAATGCAGTACCAGTATTAAACATGGCACACCTTGAACCAGATCAGGAATTTTTACATGTAATATGCACATTTGAGTGAATGCCATGAATCAATTTGTCCAATTTATGAGAAATGTCTGATCAACATCATATTTATTCTATTTTTCCCCTCATCTTGTGTCTAATATAGTATCTCATATCTCATATAATATCTGAAAATCATTTCAAGTCATGAGAATGTATTTTGTTATCAGTTCTGAAGTAATTTTACAGGCGTATTTCTTACTGTTTTGAAGGATTTGTGGCAATCCATTGCAAGAATGCATTTATCTTCACAGCCTTCCTATGAGGAACCTCAGTTTTACCTCTACATTTTATATGTCAAGGTTGTCAAAGAATAAGTCTCACTGGAAGTTATTAGGGGACCATGGAACTGATCTCTATTCCTTCAGAGCCCTAAAAGGCAACAACAGTTGGATCATTTTTTTATTTCTGAGGAGATACAGCTGCAGACAAACACACCGTGTCGGATAGCTGAATCTTATTCTGAATAACAAGCCATTTTAAAGAGATAAAAGTACACAATCAGCTAGCTACACACTATTTCAGCAAGAGCTTTAAGATACAAAACACAAAAAAAACCCCAAAAGCAGATGAACTAACAGTTACTTGTTCATGGCTCCTTAGTAACTTAGGCAAAGGAATTTTCCAAGAGGTCAGGAAGGTGAAGCTAGCTGCCGTTGCCCTGGGGAGAGGTTGGGTGGGCAGAGCAATAGCTGCAACTGCTCTTCTTGCCTTCTCTTTGCAGCACTGGCGATAACCACAATAGCCAGTGCGGCTTTTAGAGATTCAGCCCAGGCAACTTTGCTGCCTCTGGCAGTCTACTGCTCCAGGCAACATCCCTATGCCTAGAACTAGCAAAGCGTTAAATGATACATGTACATATTGTTTGTCCGTTCGTAAGCACGAACACACAGAACATATCTAAAAATGCTCAGTTGAAGGCTGCACATTTCTGTAGCAAGATTTTGCTAATAAACATAATGATTTTTGTTTTCCTTGTATCTTTATTTTTCCGTGTAATTCCATTTACTTTTTGACTACGCTACATGTCTGTAGAACTGATAGCTGCAGGTCCAAATCAATAAGAAACCTGTGGGTTCAGAAACTGCTGCAAAATTTATTATACCTCTCTGTTCACTGGTGTGAAGCAGAAAGGAGGCTTGAGAAAGAAGCTCAAAGCAACAGCAGCTAAAGTTCTGCTCCTCACTCCTTTTGCCCAATATCCGCAAATGCTCTGGGAGGTTCTTGCAAGTTCTGAAACAGCTTTAGGAATTGATCTGGAACTCTGTATCTGCCAACTGCTTTGATAACTCTGGTTGGAAATATCGTATGTTCAGTATTATTTAGCTTTATTAGTAGTACTTAATCAGCTGCCTGAAAGACTGCAGGATCAGTCTGCATTGTCATTTTTCTTTTTTCTTTAATACTGCCCTTTTTTACTTAGCTAACAAATACTGAGCTCTTCTTTTCACTTACTTTATCAACACTAAAGTGTGCTATAAACCAGTATTGCTATGGTTGACAAGAATTAATGTGTCCTCCTACAGCTGTCTAAAATTTTGCAAAAACAAACAACTATTGTCAAGTTATTTGCCTTAGGAAAAAAGCAATCCCTCCTTTAACCTATATTCAAGTTTCTGATGCAATACAACTAGCGCCAAAATTCTGATTATATAATTTTTCAAAAATTATTTTATTACTAGTTATATTTTCTGCAAACTGCAAATCTGCAAAGATTTTCTTAAATTTCAAAATAAAAGAACTGATGAAAATATTACCAAGCATAATACTGCATTCTTTAAAAAAAATATAAATTAGCCATACATTTTAAATAGACACCACATTTATTAGTTTCCAAGCAAATGTTACCAAAAAGTTAAATTATAGTTGAGATATTATAATGTCATATTTCATAATGACATTTAGAGGTTGAATTATTTTGTTCTCTTTATTTTCTAAAATCAAATATTATCTGGTAAAATGGATATTTGACTAACATTTAAGAACAGACAGACATAGTATAAAATGACTGCACTTTCAGTGAGAGCTATACAACTGTCTAACAACATATGGTTTTGTATGAGATTATAATAATTTATTTCAAAATACCACCCTTCCTAGAATAAAAAAATTAAAACAGCCAGAGAACTGAAAATTCAGAAGGGTTAGGTAAATTAAGTTTTCTTCTCTCTAGGATGACAGTGCTGGCAAGAACAACTTTTATCTTTATGCAAAATCTAATTTTTATCAAACTATTTTTAAAAATTACAGGATTATCCATAAGGGAAGATACTTACAGATCCTGCCACTTGAGAGGCACTCTGAAATTCATCAATATCCTCCGTAAGTGTTTCAACCCCGGGTACTTGAGCTGTTCCAAAGAGGTAGAAAAGAAGTAAATCACTCTAATTAAGTAAGCATTAGTCACTTTGAAAATAAAATGCCTATAAATTAACTGCTGGGAAGGTAAATGCAGCTACTGTAAATGCACTGCTTTTCAGTTACACTTCAATGGATTTTAATTTATGTCTTAATTTATGTCTGATTTTATGTCTGATCTTAATTTATAAGCTTAATGCAATGTGGAACAGTGTCTCTAACACAATTAGAGTGATAAGCAAGCTTCCTTCAGCTGCCAAGGTGTCTCATAGGTTATTTATTATTTTTACTATTAAAACTAAATACTCTTTGTCCTTTACACAAATGAGTAGTGGGTCTTCAGCTTTAATAAAATCAATAAAATTAAATTAAATTAATATGCTTTAACGAATTAGAATATAGTTAAAATCCTTGAAGTAAGAAGTTCTGGTCACTTTAGGCAATGTTTAAAAGCCATGCAAGCTGTAATTTTTGCCCATACGGCCACATTTGTAAAACAACATGACTTGGTGAGAAGGCTACAGTGCCTCTTTGACACATACGTAACGACTTAAAACAGAATTGATGTACCTGTGTCAGAGAAAGCAATTTCCAAGTAACATGCCATGCAGTTTCACTCTTTGCCTGACAGTCTGCTAGGCACTTAGATGATGTTCATAAGCAGCCTAAGAAAACAAGATGCCCTGATCTTCCCCAGGTTCTGCTGTTATTCAGACACTTAGCAGGGAGGTCCTTACGTTTTCAGAGTGCCCTGATTTGTTAAACATCTCAGCCTATACTTACTATAAAGACAGAACTATACTGAAGTATGGCAACTACGGTTACCACATTCATTGCAAACACAAAAGAAAGGAGAGGAAGAAGAGGTAATGACGATGCAAAGTTGTGGTCAGAGAACTGTGCAGGAATTGGGAGATGATGCCACATTTTTGCCACTGCTGTATCTAGTTCTCAACCCTAATTCCCACATATTTCATCCTTACTAATTTTTTTACCCTGGTCATGCAGTTCCATCTGGAATAGCACTATAGGTGTTTCATACATTCTTATTTCTATTGAACATCCCCAATTTCAAACTTTTCCTCTACATCCAAATGCCTGTTTTGAACTTACTACTATATTGGCACTTTAAAGTTAAAAAAAAAAGTAGAAGCTACACATCCTAGTCTTTTCAAGTTTCTTCAAGTAGAAACTTTCTAGTTTTTACTGGATAGAAACAGGAGCTGGCTAACTGCAAATAATAAAAAACAGTGACTCCTGTTTGATAGGGAATGAACTACTGATGTGGAATTTGCTTAATAAAATTTATTTAGCAAACTAAATATTATGTATCACAGCATAATCTGTAGATCTAATAACACAACAGAATAGGAAATATCACATGTACACACTGTGGCATAGTACCGTATAATCTATCATTTTCAGTCCAATTATATTATTCCAGGTAGAGCCACAAAATAAACAAGCCTTTGCCCACACCTCAGAAATACGTGGAGTTGCACACTACACTGCAAAGTAACTCACTTTACAAACAGCTTTTTCAGACAAAATGAGGAGTGGTTTAGAAGTGCTATGCTTTTCATTTATCCAATATTAAGAGTTTACTCCCTAATAAGTTGTTGTATTTTAAGCTTCCTTCTACAAGAATGCACTGACCGCAAAGATCTTATTTGCAATAATGTCTTCTTTTGCTGCCTTGTATCATGGCTTTCACTCAAAGGTTAAGGCACTTTTCAGCAAAAGAGACTGAAACAAGTGAAACAAGGTTCTATGGTTCCTATAGACAACTGGGATTGAATGAACAGTTATCCTTTAGTGATACTATTTCTTAATATACAAATTAAAAAAATAAAAATACACAGTAGTAGATGACCTCTACAATTCCCCAACCTGAAAAACAGACTGAGGGTTGACAGATGCAGATTTTTACTGGATCAATCCTGTTGCAGTGTCTATCTTTTGAAACCTCAGCCGTTCTCCCCATCTATCTGTACAGAACAAGAGCAAGGCTTAATGGAGAACTGATCCAAAAGACAAACCTGACAGGCTTGGCATCTACAGGGGATGTTTGCTGTGTGGTCACCAAAGCTGCTGCTTCTTATCAAAATCAAGAACCTAGCTATTAAATTCTTCCCTTAGTTCTTTCCTGTGAAGTGGTCCAATGGGAAAGAGAAACAGTTTTGAGAGGTATAGATTAAGACAGTAAAAAGAAACTGCAGCGTTAAAGCGTCTTGTGTTCTCCGATTTTGAGACCTGATTCCCATCTCTCATTTTTACTGCTTAGATCAAACACAACTCTGTCCAGTT